AGAAAGAAAGAAAGAACTGGAGGTCTGAGAGGCCTTGTTCAAAGTCAGTAATAACAGTTGCTACTTACTGAGCACTTAATAAATGTACCAACTGTATGAAGTGCTTTATATTCAATAGTTCATTTGGTCCTCCTGGAAATCCTATGAAGGAGGTAAGTAGTCCCTTTTCCTCCCCCATTTTACAGATAGGAAAACTGAGGCTCATGGGTATTTCCTGAAGGTCACATGGTCAGTGACAAGTCCAGGATTCAAACTCAGGCCTATCACCAAAGCCCACAATCCTAATCATTCTTATCTCCAGAAACAGAATCCAGAGCTCAACTCCAGCCTCATGGGCAGCATTTATTAGACCCCTCATGTTTGCCAGAATTTGTAGTAGGCATTCATCCAGGCTCTTTCCCCATGCTCTTTTCTTCCCATGATCCATTTGGGCTGAAATTTATCTCTTTTTTTTTTTTTTTGCAAATTTTTTTCTGTTGTTAAAAATAAAATATGCTCATTGTCAAATATTTATACTATAGAATAGTTCTAATAAGAGAAAATAAAAATCACCCATAATTTAACTACCCAGAGATAACCACTATTACCATTTGGGTACTTTTCTTTCCAGTCTTATTTGTAGCCACATCTGAGTGAAATTGTATAAAGCGTATATGCGGTCAAACTGATGATATGATTTGACATCTTTCTTTTTCACTTCAGAGCGACTTAAAGAACAGAGAGCTCTAACCGGGACAGGGTGTGGCATCACTGACCTGTTCTGCAGTTGGTGGACATTAGGTTGTTTCCCAACTATAAACAATGCAGCTAGGAACATCTTCACACAGACATGCTCAGGCCCAGGGAGAAACTCAACAGTGAGCCGAGTGGGAAAAGGAGAAATGGTTAAGGCCTGTTGCCTACCCGGTGAGCCGCCCCTGTGGGAGTGTCCAGCCCCCCGACTCTGCCGATGTTTCCTGGTTTTTCTGGGGTGCTGGTCCTCATCACTGCTCTCTGCAGGGAACAAAACACAAACTATAGGAGAACCTCGGCCTGAAAGGAGCCTAGAATACATTGTTCTGTTGTTCATCCTCAGAATTTAGTTTTTGTGAGGAGTGTGGTCTGGGAAAAATAGACTAGCGTGTTTAGTGATTATCTCTGGGAGACAGAGCAAAGGATGGTTGTGTCTTCTTCTTTCTATATCTTTACATGTTCTACATTTTGTACACCGTGTCTATGGGTGCCCAGCTGGTGTGGCTCAGTGGTTGAGCATTGACCTATGAACTAGGAGGTCATGTTTTGATTCCTGGTCAGGGTTGTGGGTCGGTCCCCAGTGTGGGGCATGCAGGAGGCAGCCAATCAGTGATTCTCTCGCATCAGTGATGTTTCTCTCTCTCTCTCTCCCTCTCCCTTCCTCTCTGAAATCAATGAAAATATATTTTTAAAAAATGTGCCTATGGGTAATCTTTCACAATAAAAATCTTAATTAAAAAAGTAACAGGCTACATTAAGAACAAAAAGATGTAGGGAGAACAGTGCTGGGTGTACGACTATCAGTTAGGGCCCTGGGCCTGGAGGAAGACTGGGGGCTACAGTGAGCCGATGGGGCTGGGGGCCTTGAGGTCACCATCTGAGCTTGAAGGATGGGCATGGTCTGACTCCCAGCAGCAGGCCAGCCACTGTGGGTCAGACACAGGATCCTGAATATCAGTCTGTCCCTGTGTGCTTCTGTGTTAATTTGCCTGTTGCTTTCTCTTAGTGTTCAGTTTTGCTAACCACAGCCAATCCCATGTGTGCTGGGGAGACAGGAGGGAAGTGCTTTATGGCCGCACTTGAGGGACATTAGTGTGGGAGCAGCACCCCCTAAGGGGCAACCAGAATCAGAACACAGAATGTCCCCTCCCACCACAAAGGAGAAACACAGGGACAGAGTCCCCCTGGCAAGAGTCCCCTGCACCTGGAAGCCCTTCTTCCAGAGCTAAAGCCCTTAGTGGGTGGGTTTGTGTACATTTAATAAGGGCGGTGGTTTCCTTTCCAGACCCATGAGGAGACTGGCTACGCACAAACCCACTGGACCCACTAACCATTGTCTCTCTTCTGTCCGCTGAAATAAGCATGGATTTTGTGGCCTTAAGCCTCAGTCTGATCATTTGCAACATGAGGACATAAGTCTAGGGTGCCAGGGCTTTGCAAACATTTTTACAAATTTAGCCTCAGATTGCTTTCATCAAATAAAATCTCAGACCCAGGCCCGCTATGTACAACAGATCAGGAGCGCCGATTGAGGAGGAATAGACCAGGGCTAATCCTTACGCTCCTCAGGCCCAGAAAGACCTCCAGGGAATCCCAGGTTACTGAGCCCTCTCCCAGCAGGGCAGTCAGCCTGTGCCTCAGTTTCCTCATCTGTAAAATGGTAACAATAACAGTACCTCCCTTAATGGATTGCTATGAGAATTAATTGGGTTATTACAGTGCTCAGAACAGTACCCGGCACATAGGTCAGCAGTATCAACACATGTTAGCTATGATGTTGCTGCTGCTGCTGCTGCTGCTATAAACTCAGCCTTACATTTCAAATCAAAAGAATAAAAGTGAAAGAACATCCTGCTGTTTATCAGAGAATAATGTGATAATTTGTAATCAAGACTCAAATAGAGACACTTATTTCTCTAAACCCACTAAAGTACTTGTGGGGGAGCAATACTTAGGACATGATTTGTATGAAATACTAAAAAAGCAAAAGCAATGGTGTGGTCTGTGGAGAAAAAGGTTATGGAATTTCCACTCCAGCGTGAGGGGAAGATGGGGCTACAAGGGAGGCACAAGAGGGAATTTAAAAATAAATGAATAAATAAATAAATGAAAGCAAAAGCTTTTGAGCAAGGATGCTCATGAATGGGATAAGTTGGTGGTAAGGTGGGTGGACCTTAACAATAATAGTTCCTTTTTGAGCTTTTACTATGTGCTAGGTGCTAAGACGTTACACATGTGAAAAATGTTATCGTCATAAGAATCCTATGAGGTAACTTTTTTTGCCACCCCTATCTTAGAGATTAGGACCTCAAGGAATACAGGGTTAAGCGATTTATTCAAGGTCACATAGCTAGTTAGTTGAACCCGGGCAGGCTGCTTGATGGACAGGTGCACTAACTCTGGCACCAGACTGTCCCTAGGAAACCTCAATGTTACTTTAGATGAGATGCAGTCACTTGAGGGGTTATCCGGGAGGCATGAGAAATAGCTGCCAAGATATGTCAGAATAGCAGGGCAAAATGCAGAGGAGGAGACAGCAAACAATGTTAAACCATGAACAAAATTGGCTATACGATTCTGTATAACTGTATACAAGTTCTGTGTACAGATAGGCGGGCTCTGGAAGGGAATGTGGACAAATAGAATTGAAGTATCAAGGTGGGGGATTATGGGGCATGGTTTTCCCATGTAAAGGTTTTCTTGAATAATATAAGATTATGTTTGTGTATATTTAAATCTTTGCTGTACCTGAAGCAGAGGAGGACGAGGATGAAGAGGAAGAGGAGGAGGAAGACGAAGAGGAGGAGGAAGAAGACTTGTCTCTCTTATACTGTTTTTGAGGAGAGAGTCCAGCCTCCCTGTCTTGCTTGTGGAAATCTGTCTCTCCATCTGGGAGGAACACACAGGCAAGGATGAGTGTTTCCCGCCCGTCCCACCCCAGGGACCACCAAGGCCTCCTCAGGGGTCTCTCTAGATGTGGGGAGCCAGGAGGGGCTGGTTTCTCCAGGATACTCTTCCCAGAGGCCCCAGGGTCCTAAGAAGGCCCAACACAGAAATTTCTCTAAATATGGAGCCCAGACAGGGGCTTCTAAGAGCCCTGTCCTGCTCTGAGACCACTAGACTGTATACTACTAAGTAGTTGCCAATAGAAGATTTTCTGTAAATTTCAGGGCAGGTGGGATCAGATTAAGCCCTATGTTCCCATCTCCTATGCTGGGCTCTCCCTAGTGCTAGCCCAAGCCCACAGAGACTCTTAGAGAGTTGGGGAGCAGCTGAGGATTCCCGCAGCTCCAAAGTGCTGGAGGACAGACTGGACCAAGCACATATGTATGTGTGCATGTGTGTAAAATCACTACTTCTTTAGAGGTTTCAACTGTGACTTGAGCCATTGTACCACCTGAGCTAAGCAGGGTCGTCCTCTGTTCTACCCATTCATTGCTGGACTCCACCTCCCATGAGGCTTTGCCCAGAGGATCAGAGAAGGCAGACATACAGACTACATCTTCTGTATTTCCGTGGACTTGACTGTGGTCTGGAGTCTGGGAGGAGGATCCTGAAGTCTCCATTGCCTTCCCTGGAGGAATAACAATAACAAGTAATTAATAATCAATAACAAGTAGTTAATATCCTTAATACAGAGAGAGCTTGGCAAATAAATAAGAAAAGGAAAAACACTCAATTTAATATATTTTTTTTATTGATTTTTCACAGAAGAAAAACACTCAATTTGAAAAGGTATGAGAAACAACTTACAAAAAAAAGAAAAATACAATTAGGGAAATTTAGATAATGATCATCTTTTTTGGCGAAAAACACTCAATTTAAAAAGGTATGAGAAACAACTTACAAAAAAAGAAAAATGCAATTAGGGAAATTTAGATAATGATCATCTTTTGACAATATAAAAACTTATTTACTTTTAAAAAATAGCTTTAGTATTTAGCAGTTTTAAGTTCACAGTAAAATTAAGTGGAAGGTACAGAGATTTCCCATATTCCTTCCATCTCCATACATGCATAGCTTCCCCATTATGAACATCCTCTGCAAGTAATTTTTAGGTGTGATATTTATATCGAGGTTATATTTATTTAAAGTATCCTTAAGTTTAGAGATAAATACTGAAATATTTATAATAAAGTTATATTATGTCTTGGACTTGCTTCAAAATAATCCTGTTGGGTACTTGGAGGGCATGGGTGGGGATCCAAATAAACAAGCATGACCATCAGTCAGTAGTTGTTGGAGCGATATCAAAATATAAATCGTGGTTCTTTCTGGGTGGTGTTGGATATTTAAATCTTTGCCCACCTCCACCCCATCCCCACCTCTGGCAACCACCTATCTTTTCTCTGTGTCTATGAGTTTGAGTTGCTTTTGTTTTAGCAGAGAATCTACTCTTTAAAAAAAATTTTTTTTCAGTTTATTTCAGAGAGGAAAGGAGAGAGAGAGAGAGATAGAAACATCAATGATGAGAGAGGATCATTAATCAGCTGCCTCCTGCATGCCCCACCCTGGGGATTGAGCCCACAACCCGGGCATGTGCCCTGACCACGGAATTGAACCGTGACCGCTTGGTTCATAGGTCGATGTTCAACCATGCCAGCCAGGCCAGAGAATCTACTCTTAACCCACCACAAGACCTTGGCTAGGCAATATCTTTCCCTTTGTCTCAAAGCTGGACCAGCTGGGTTTGAATCCTGACACTTCCAGCTGTGGGAGCTGAGCATGTTACTGAACCTCTTGCTGTGACTCAGGTTCCTCGTCTATAAAACGGGGACGATAATAGTGCTTCCTTCATAGTATTGTTGTGAAAAGAGCATGAGCTAAAACACATGAGGCACTTAGAACAATGCTTGGTACAGAGCAAGTGTTGAGTAAACGCCAGCTGAGATGATTATTATTAAGACGGAGGAGCTGGGTGGGAGCAAAAAGACAGTATTTGTACAGTGGCAAGAGCATGTGCTTTGGGGTCAGTCTGACCAGGGTCCAACTCCACTCTGTCACCTGTGCATGGGGTGACCTTGGGTAGGGCAGTTCCTTTCTCTACGTTCTATTTATAACAACTGTGAACCAGTGATGGGAGAGGCTTAGGGAGGAAAGATGGCCAGCGCCTGCCCTTAGAGGCCTCAGAAGATGTGAGTTCCCTCTTCTCCAGGCCTTTTATGACCCTCAGACAATCAGTGTCCAACCCCAGCCCTGCCCATCTCCCTTCTCCTATTACCCTCTTTCTAGAATAAAAATTCCCATTTTTATTCTGCAGGGCAGAATTCAGCTAAACATTAGGAAGTCACTAGGCAATAAAACTGATTAATATTCAGGAATAAATGACTGATAACCACACACCTCCAGGGCATATCTATGTTTTGAAAAGAACTCTTTGTACATAGCAGGTGCCCAGTACATGGCCATTAGCTGAGGTCATCTCTAATGTGGAATTCCAGGTAGCGTGGAGAAAGAGATTTAGAGCACCTATGGGAGAAAGAGAGCTCTGGCTGATGCCAAATACACCAGAAGTTCACTAACCCGTTCTCATCTCTTTCCTGCTCTAGCTGTCACTTGGCAGTCCCTGGCCACACACAGCATTTTCAGGCCTCCAGACTCCTATCTATGCCATTTTCCTATTGTCAGAATTGTATCTGACCTTCTAGGCACAGCTCCATTAACACCTCCTTCATGAAGGCTCATGCTAGCTGCCTGACCAGAATGCTCCCTTCTGACCCCCGCTCCATTCACCCTTCTTCCCCCACCACCCTTGGACTTCTTGCTAACAAAGCTGCAATTTTGTTCTTCCAACTCCAGTTAGATATTCATTTCTCCAGTCTTTCTCAGAGCTCAGGATGGCCATGTGACCCAATTTTCATTAATGAAAAGTTAGCAGAAATTTGTTGGTGTTCAGGAATGGTTTAGTTTCTCTTACAAAAGAGGGCAACAGGGCTGGTGCTATGTCTTGCCTCTCCTTCCATCCCTGAACATGACTGTGATGGCAGGAGCTACAGGGTCCATCTTGTGACCTTGAGGAAAAGCCAAAGCAAACTGAGCCCTTGCTCACAGCTGCTTGCTTTCTTGTTATTTGAAACAAATAAACCTCATTTTGCTGAAGCCTCTATTAAGGATTTTTGTTATTTGTAGCTAAGTACAATTCTGACAGAAACACATTCCTACACTAATTGAGCACCTATTGTAAGCTAGCACTGGGGAAACAGTGGTGAATAAGTTGCAGCACTTTCCTCAAGGAATTTCAAGGTAGACCTGGGGGCTGTTGGAACCCAGGGGCCCAATCAGATTAGAGTCAGTCAAGGAAAGCTGGGGGTGAGTTGGAAGGGCCAGGGGAACAGTGTGCAAAGGCACAGAGGCAGGGGGCCATGGACCACATGGGAAACAGTTGGCAGGAAGCATCTTTAAAGAAGAGTGGGATTTGGAGGAGGCCCAGAGAACACCCCTATTGCACCCCCCAGCATATCATTCTCGAGCCATAATCAACTTTGCCTAATACCAGACTCCTCTTCAAGGTAGGGCATCTAGTTGCAAAACTCCGGGAGCCACCGTTCCTATTCACCTTCAGATCTGTGCCCAGGGCTCCGCAGAGGGTCTGACACACCCAGGGTGTGTCTCTTCTACTGGATCATGAACCCTGCCAGGGTTAGAGACTGAGGCTGATTTATTTATGTGTCACCGAACCCTGCACAGGGCCTGACAGAAACCAGAAATGATGATAATGATGATGACAATAACAATAAATGCTTACTATCTGCCAGGCCACGATCTAAGCATGCTACGTGTATTAACTTGTATTCCTCACCACAACCCTAGGACGGCTCACCATGGTTGTGCCCATTTTATAGGTTAAGAACACTGAGGCACAGAGACACTGAGAAACTTCCCCAGAGCCATGTACCTAGTAAGTGACTGAGCAACAGTAGTTGTTTGGTCCATCTTGAGGGCTGGAAGGACTAATGCTGGCACCTCTTCCCAGGCCCCTGTCATCTGACCAGGAAAGAAGCCACTAACAGTCATGGGAGTGTTATACAAGTGATGCTGACTTGGCTTATATTTAGCCTCTGGTGGAAGTGTCCTCAGAGCCAAGTTCACTTCCGTGGGCAGTTCTTCAGCACACTGATCCATCAGGAGAGGGGAAATGGTAGGAGCTATCCTTGCCCCACCCTCCCTTCACCCTTATTTCTGCTATGAGAAAGGATAGATAGAATTTATAGACATAAATTCTAACTATGTTTTCTTGGTTTTAGAGAGAGAGGAAGGGAGAGGGGGAGAAAAACAGAAACATCTTTGGCCAGGGACCGAATCCACAACCTGGGTATGTGCCCTGACTGGAAATCAAACCGGCGACCTTTCAGTGCATGGGACGAAGCTCAATCAATTGAGCCACACCGGCAAAGGCATAGAATTTTTATAACTTAAAACTCAGGGATCAGTGGGCAAGGCAATGCTTAACACAAAGGACAGAGGACTCCTGGTGGAACATCAGGCGCTGGCAGAGGGATTGCTGGGAGGGGCTTCGGAAAACTCAAGTTCAGTGCATGTGACTTGGAGCCAAGAAGGACAACCATAGACAGTTGAAAGAGAAGTGAAGAAAGACGAAAGCAGGAAGAGGAAAAGAAACATGGTGCGTTCCCTGCGATCCAATTTTATTCATGCAAGTCTTATTTATCTTATGCAGGAAAACCTTAGGTTGAGATGGACAAAGTGACTTGTCCAAGGTCTCCCAGCTTACAGATGACCCCTACCCTGACAGAGAACCCCCATCCCTAGCCCTGGTTAGAGGCATCTCATGTGGCCCCACATTTGAGGCTGATCCTACAAGGAAATAGACTTATTTTCTAACACTTTTCTCCAAAAGCCCAGCCCTGCTGAGTCACTGGTGGTGCCAGGTCCTCTGTACCCACAGGTCTTGCTAAACTGGATTTTCCTCTTCAATCCAGTCCAGTATTTCCTAAGTTCCTGCTGTCATAAGGGCCTGGGCCCAGAGTGGGAGGGATAGTAGGAGAAAGCCTCACAGCCCTTTTCCTGCCCAGCTCACTCAATCCTCATACTAATCAGGAGGGAGGCAGAAAGGGTGGGGATTATTGTCCTGTTTTACAAATGGGGGAAGTGCGATCTAGAAATGGAGGAACTTGCACAAGGTCACACAGCAACCCAGGGGCAAGGCTGGCTCCAGAACCCTGCCTCTTCATTCAAGGGCTGCTTATCTTTCCCAGGTGTCTCTCCATGGAGGAGGGGGCTGAGGCAACAAAGATTGAGTTGGATTTCAACAGGTGGCAAAAGGCAGAGTGGAAGAAAGATTCAGTGGAGGGGGTGGGTGGCAGAGGGCAGTTGAAAGGGTAGGAATCCCCTGAGGCTGGGGAAGTAGTCCTGAGCCTTGAATGCCTGGCTAATGGCCAAGTGTTCCTGCAGGTGAACTGTGAGGAACGTTCCTAAGGGTCATGAATGCAGGGGCAGTTCAGTTCAACAAGCCCAGGCAGGAACTAGGGTTGGGGACACAGGAAGCAGAAATAGCTGGGAGGGAACAGAGCTGACAGAGAGTGGGTGCTTGCTGGTTTTGCCCACCAGACATCGAAA